TGTTATCTCTGGACATCATAGAATATGAGTTCCCCGATTGGACCAAATTAACAGCCCCAATTAGGGACCCCCGGCTGACAGATAAAGAACAGGAGTGTCAGAGGTTCTGTTCACTCTGACACCCGGATCAGTGTCTAGGACTCTCCACATTTGATGTCTGGATACCAGCCTCTGTGGAGTTACAGTATATCAAGCTTGGTTAGAGATACAGAGTAATGCCAACAGTGTGGGTTCAATTTCTGCATCGACTTTGGTTACAATGAAAGTTTGTCAACCTTCCCCCCCTTATTTGAGGTATGGTGACCCTCAGGTTAAACTATCACCAATCATCCAATCATCTCTCTCTAATGAGAGAGCAGTCCTAAGTTCTGGTAAAACCATGTCAATGTTATGTTTAGACAGCAGTCAGCTGAGCCATCCTGACACTGTACTTATTTAACAGGTGAATGAAGTCTCAGCATCCTAAATAGATGTGTAAACCATCTCTCACACAGCTGGTTTTAACAGGATTGACTTTTATCTCACTTCTTATAATTGAGCTCATTCTTTTTGATCATAATTCCTCTTGCCTCCCTGCTGAGGATGATGGTACATAGATCCACAGGTGCTGGATGATCTGTGATCACTCCCCAGAATTTGACATTCTACAAAAGTACTTTCAAGGAATTCCTACAGTGTGGAAGTGGCCATTCAGCCTATTGTGTCCACACCCAACCCTCTGAAGACCATCCCCATAACCCTATATTTCCCATGGCTAATCCCCCTAACCTACACATCCCTGGACACTATAGGCAAATTAACATGGCCCAATCCACCTAACCTGCACATCTTCGGACTATGGGAGTAAACTGCAGCACCTGGTGGAAACCCACACAGAGACAGGGAGAATGTGCAAACTCCACACAGACAGAAACCCAAAGCTGGAATTGCACCCAGGTCCCTGGTGCCGTGGTAGCAATGCTAACCAATCTGGGATATCTTGGAGACTTGAGGATGCTGTGTAAGTGGAGGGTTTTTTTATTTGTGTTTGATCAAACTAAATGGGAGACTGCTGGGCATAAATTGGCTTCCATGTTTCCTACAGCAATGATGATAGAAGAAAAGGCATCCCATTGGCCAGAACATGCTTTGGGACATCTTATGGCTATGAAAGGAGCTACATAAATGTAAGTCTTTCTTATTTTACATTGGAACGAACTGCCTGAAACTGCATTGGAAACGGATTCAATGACACCTTTCAAAAGGAAATTGGAGATTGGGTAAATATTTACAAAGGGAATATATACTGGGCTATGGTGGGGGTAGCTGGAGTGGGGATAACTGGACAGCTTTCCCAAAGAGCCACCACCGGCAAAATGGGCTGAATGGCCACCTTTCTTGCTGAAAATCTTTTGTTCTCTCGTGAGGGAATGATAGCATCAGCAAATGTCTGTGGCTGCAGTGAGTTCACTTCCCTGTTCCAACTGGTTACCAAAAATTAGTCTATTCTGTATCTTGTTAGCCATGTCATGCTCAAACATGAGCAGAAATCAGATCTGTCCACATTCATAGCTTCAATTAGAATTAGTGAGTCACTTGCTGTGGCATGCTGCACGTGAGACAAAGGTTGTGTTCTGCAAACACTTTCTCAAATGCTCTCTTAATCAGTAAATGCCAAGTTGGAAGGAATTGCATTAATGTAGCACCTTTCTTGACTACAGGTGAACCCAAAGCTAAGCAAATTATTTATATCTAAAGGTAGGCTGAAAATAGATCCAACTGCACCTCTGCTCTCCAACACTGTTTACCACACTCTCCGCCCCACATCAGCTCCTGTAGTTAATACTCTCTCTGGATTTGCAATTATCAAGCAGAACACAAGAACAGCCAATGTTTGAGGGCTAAAGAACACTCAGAGTCTCCTGCGCTCTCTGCATTGCTAACAGCTGCAGGATCATTGATTTCTTCTTTGTCACTGAAGTATTTCAATCCATTTTCCACCAAAGGCGTTTCAGTTTCAATATCCCTTTGTCGAACCTCCACTTACTCTCGACATGCTTGACATGCTTTCAAGCGATCCTCGAAATGATTGAGAGTTGATGGGGAGTTAAAAGGATTCCAACTGGATTGATTAAATACCCACAGCCCTCGCCTTCCCCACGCCCGTCTCACCTGTGGAGTTCCAGATGGTTTTGTTTCCTGACCGATGCTGTCTGTGCTCCTCATGTAACTGGCCCATTTTTCTATAAGTCTCATTTAGAACAAGTTTAAGTTGCTGCCGGTTGACATGAAGAGATAAATAAACTGCACCTAGAGCGAGAGGCAGAGGCCAAGGAGCTGATAGGTAAACTATTTCCCGGACGGTCTCTGCGAGTGACACAAGAGTCTCACCTGTAAAATAATCCTCCACCTGTCTCCACGGAAACAATAGCAGAACACCTGGCGGGCACAGTGTTTATCACAGGTTTAATAATCCAGTGCGACAGAGGGTGGAGCTGCCTGCACGCCAATCCTTCTGGATTAGTTATGTGTTTGATACTAATGGAACATTTTCAATCTATGCTGGAAGAGCAAAAATGCAAACCACAGACAAAACAGCATACCCGCTTAATCACCGCGGAACGGGAGGAGATAACAGCAAAGGCCTCGTATAACATCTAGTTTAGTGCTCCCAGTGCAGTACTGAGGGAGGGCTGCAAAGAAGGACAGTAATGTTTCACTTTTTAACTTTGTTTTCTTTATTTTCTGCTTTATAACTAAGATTCTGTACCAAGGTACCTTTGAACCTTAAGATGGTGCTGGAAGTTGTGACTTGTAAACTTATCACTGTACTCATGTAAGTACATGTGACAATAAACCTAATTCAACTCAATGTCAGTACTGAGAGAGCACCACATTGTGAGACAGTGAATATTGAGGGAGCGCTGCACTGTCAGAGGGTCAGCATTGAGGGAGCGCTGCACTGTCAGAGGGTCAGCATTGAGGGAGTGCTGTAACATAGGAGCTTCTGACTTTGGGATGAGGTAATAATTTGAGGCCTCAGATGTTCCCTCAACTTGGTAACAAAATCTTGAGCCTAGCTGACAGCAGGTATTTTGAAAGTGAGCACTGGATTGGTGATGTTAGAGTGATGTGTGCAGGCAATCTTTGTGATGTGTTGGAGAACGATGCAGAGGTAGTGAACTGTATGTTTCTGCCTCCAACTGTGTAGAATGGGCAGGGTGTAGAATGGCATCAATTGTGAGACAATGGAGTGTGTTGGGAACCGTTGTCGGTGATGTCAGTCTTCCCAAGGAAATTTTAGTTCATCCAGGGCAAGCAGTCTAACAGCATAGGTGTAGTTGAGGGGTCATGAGAAATGCTGTGGAAGTAGGGCAGTGTAGAGTTGGTGGGTATGTGCAGACTAACTGTAAAACTATAAATGATGTTTAGAAAATCATATGTACAAGGAATATGTGGGGTGGAGGACAGATCCTTGAGGGTGTCTGGAGGTAATGACACAGAAAGAGGAGAAGGAAGGCTGTGCCGAAGGTGCCCTGGCTTTGAGAGATATGAGGAGTAGAACTAAGCGTAGTCAAAGCTGCAGAGAAACAAAGGAAAGTTCATAAATCCCTTTTGAAAGTTAATCCTGAATCTGCTTCAACCACCCTTCCAGGCACCGCACTCCTGATCACAACAGTACATTGTGCAAAAAGAATTTCTCTTGTCTCCCCCACTGGAAACTTTGTCAATGTGTCCCTCTGGTTAATAACCCTCTCCAGTGAAGACAATTGATCATTAGTTACTCTACTACGATCTCACATAATTCTGAACATTACCTAAGGGGCAACTTTTTCATACAGAGGGTGGAGTGTAAATGGAATGAGCTGCCAGAGGAAGTGGTAGAGGCTGGTACAATTACAACATTTTAAAAAGCATCTGGGTGGGTACTTGAATAGGAAGTGTTTAGAGGGATGCGGGCCAAATGCTGGCAAATGGGATTAGATTAATTTAGGATATCTGGTTGGTATGGATGAATTGGACCAACAGTCTGTTTCCACGCTGTACTTCTCTATGATTCTGTGACCCTTTAAGAGAGTCTTGGGATGATGCCCCTATACCTGCTCCAGAAGGTCAGGGTTCAAAACTCACCTCAGAATGTGATGGCCACAGAGGTGTGTCATATCACATCCAAAAAGATTGATTAAACTACGACAATTAAATCTGCTGTTAACCCACTACCCTCAGTTACTTCATCAAGGAACTCAACCAGATTAATCAAACTTGACTTGCCTCAACAACTATAGACAGATTTTACAAACCAATCCATAGCTTTCCAAATGCCAGTTAATGATCATCTCTCCATCAGGTTGCAGCCTGCTGCTTCTTCAGACTGGCTGCAAAACTTGTTAATCAACATATCCTAAAGTTACCGAAGCACAGTGGAATCCACTGGTGAAAACACACCTCAGCTGGATAAGAGATTTTATCTTCAGTTGTTAGTTTCAGTCTTCTTAATTTTAACCATTGATTTCATTTTTATAGTCGTGGAGTCATACGTATAGAATCAGGCCCATTGGCCCACCATGCCTATGCTGATCAACAAACACCAAACTACACTTAGCCCTTTTACCCATACTTGGTCTACAGCCTACTATGCCCTAGCATTTTACGCGCTCATCCAGATGCCTCTTAAAAATACCTGCCTCCACCATGCTCTCGTGCAGCATGTTCCATATTTCTACCACCCTGTCAGTGTAAGTTTCTTTTCTCAGATCTCCTCTAAACCATGTACTCCTCACCTTAAACTTATGCCATCTGGTCTTAGGTACATCTGCTATGTGGAAAAGATTCTTACAATCTACTCTGTCTATGCCTCCCATAATTTTGTATACATCAATCAGATCTCCCATCAGCCTCTTCTGCTCCATGGAAAACAAACCCAGCCTATCCAGTCTCCCCTCAGATATGAGACTGGTCATTCCAGGCTGCATCCTGGTAAACCTCACTTGCACCCTCTCCAGTGCAATCATGTCCTTCCAGTAGTGTGGCAACCAGAACTGCACACAGTATTCCATCGCCTAACCAATGTTTTATAAAGTTGTAACAAGACTTCCTTACTCTTGTATTGTCTGCTGTGGCTAATAAAGGCAAACATCCAGTATGCCTTCTTCACCACCCTGTCTAACTGTGCTGACAGAGCCTTGTACACCAAGGTCCCTTTGTTCCTCAGTACTCCCTGGGGACCTACCATTCATTGTGTATATCATTCCTTTATTAGACCTCCCAAAATGCATCACGTCACATTTATCAGGATTACATTCCATATGCCATTGCTATGCCCAATTTAACAGCTGATCAATATTAGATTGTACCTGGAGGCAATCCTCCTCAATATCAAAAACACCCACCGATTTTCATGTCATCTATAAACTTACTAATTATACCTTCTATATTCCCATCCAAGTTGTCAATTTACATAACAAACAGCAAGGGTCTCAGCTCTGATCCTTGTGGTACACTGTTGGTCACAGGCTTCCAAACAGTTTACCAACTTGCCTTGGGTCCCATGGGCTGTGGCCTTTTGGACCAGCCTTCTATGTGGGACCTTGTCAAAGGCCTGACTGAGACTATATAAACCACATTAACTGCACTACCCTCATCAATATATTCAGTCACCTTTTCAAAAAAACTCAACTAAATTTGTCAAACAGCATCTCCCTTTAACAAATCCATGCTGACTATTATTGATCAATCCCTGCCTTTTCAAGTTTTGATTAATGCTGTCCCTCGGAATATTTTCAAACAATTTCCCTACCACTGATGTCAAACTAACTGGTCTGTAATTACCTAGCCTACACCTGCGGTGCTTCTTGAACACATTAGCTATCCTCCAGTCAACTGGCACTTCACTTATGACCAGCAAAGTATTAAATATCTCCACCATGGCCTCAGCAATTTCCTCTCTCACCTCCTGTAGCAGCCTAGGATACATTTCATCAGACCCTGAGGATTAATGCTCTTTATTGCCAGCTAAAACATCTACTAGCTCTTCCGTATTAATCTGAACATCTTCTAGAACATCACCATCCCAACTGAAAACCCCAGCTACGATATAGAATAGAATGTCTTTCTCCTTTGTGAACACAGATGAGAAATATTAATTTAAGACTTCACCCATGTCCTCAGGCTCCGCTCACAGGCTGCTCCTTTTGTCTCTAATAGGTCCCACTCTTTCCCTGGCAATCCTTTTACTCCTCATATTCTTGTAAAAAGTCTTTGGGTTTTCTTATCTGCCAAAGATATTCTGTGGCCCCTCATTGCCCACCTAATTTCTTTACTAACCAACCCACTACACTCTCTACACTTTTGAAGGGCCTCCCCTGCTTTTAATGTGCTATCCCTGACATATAATTCCTTCTTTATCTTTACAAAACTCACACTATCCCTTGACATTCAGTGTTCCCTGGACTTGTTGCTCTTCACTCTTAGAGGAACAGAATGACCATGAATTCTCACTATACTACTTTTAAAAGATCTCCATGTTCCAAATGCAGACTTACCTGCAAGTAGCTGCTTCCAGTCTGTTTTCCATATCCTGTCTATTGAGATTGAAATTGGCTTTCCACCAGTTTAGATACTTAAATTCTGCACTATACTTATCCCTTCCCATAATGACTTTGAAATTTATAGAGTTATAGTCACCTCCCCAAAATGCTCACCCACTGAACCTGCAACCACTTGACCGGCTTCATTCCTTAGGATTAGGCCTAGAACTGCCCCGTCTGAAGTAGGACGATCCATGTACTGGCACAAAAAGCTTTGCCAGATACTCTTTAAAACTTCTACACTGTCTAATCCTTTCACATTAAGATGATTCCATGTAATATTAGCAAAGTTGAAATCCCCTACAACTATAGCCATATTCCTTTCACAGATCTCTGTGATTTGCCTCCATTTCTGCTCCTCTATCCCCTTCTGATTGTTGGGAGGCCTGGAATATGATCTCAAACAAAATAATTGCCTACTCTTTAACTCTAAGATCAATCCAAATGGCTTCATTTGAAGAGTCTTCTAGGACATCGTCTCTCATTACTACAGTGATGGTCTCCTTTATCAATAATGCAATGTCCCCACCTCTCCTTTATTCCTGCAATGCGCCTGAAACTTCTTTATCCTGGAATGTTGAGCTGCCAGTCCTGCCCTTCCTTCAACCATGTCTCAGTGATTGCAACAATATCATATTCCCACGTGCTGACTAATGCTCTAAGCTAATCCACTTTACCAGCTCCTTTCATTACAATAGATACAATTTAGTTCTCCAGTCCTCCCGTGTGCCCTATCATGCCCATGTATTCTCTGCCTACTGGACTGTCCTAGGATTTCTTTTATATCTGATTAGACCTTACTCATGACTTTACATCTACTCTGCGCACTATGCCCCTG